CTGCTGAATCCAATGCATCTGCACAGGCATAAAGCTGGGCAAGATAATAGTCAGGTCTGCTGTGGAAAGAGGTAAGGGACCACTTAGTGCCTGCAACTTATGACTTTGTGGTAGAGGAGAAAAGGAGAAGACACTGCTCCCAAACTGAGCTTGCCAGGAGCTGCCCAGCAATTACATTCCTACTCTTAGTGTACCACTACTCAATTTAACAATTAGAAATGCTTTTTCATATTTGTATCTTTGATAGAGGTAATTAGGTTTCAATGTTTAAGAAATGTATCTCAGTACATTAAAGTGACATTTTAAAAGCCTACAGAGTAGCTATTGTCAGTAATTAAACTCCATTTCAAACTGTCGGGAACTGTTCATGAACAGGGCTTAGTACTGTTTTCTAAGGTGGCATTTGAAACTATATGCATAGAGATGCAACAGCAAAACTCACCATTTGGTTTGTTGGAGGCAAAATCTTGCCCTCTTTTAAACTAGTTTCGGTGGAGGTAAAAGAACTGAGGAACTGAAACAGTTAACCACTCAGGCTATCAAAATATTTGAGTCACAGTGCATAGGGATGAGTTATGAACACTGCACTTACCACATGGTGTAATGATCTGAAAAGACATCCTCTGGCTGGAAGATCTCACCATCATAGTAACAAGAGCAGTGGGACTTTGGCACACACTGCTCACGCTCGTCCAGGTAGTGCCCAGGGGGACAGTAGCATCCTTCCACGCAGAGTTCATCACAGTCCTCATCCGGATAGGACAGAGATCTGCAGGTCTGGTTGCATGGTGTCCCACACTGCTGGTACACTTGGCCTTCAGGACAGGTCATTGCTGTTGAATGATGTGCACATCAGGGAGACTGGCATTTGATCCAAAGACAACTAAGGAAAAAGCTGCCTAAACCAGACTGGGAAGCAGGGGATTAAAATGTATTTACTCATTGATGGAGGCCTGTAATACACTGTCCTTAATTCTGCAGCACCAGTGAAGCCTAGGGCACTGCTTATATATACACAAGCAAAACCTTACTATGAACAGTTCCAAATAAATGTCAGGACTGGATTGCCCCCTCCCAGCTTCTTGCGCACTTGGCAGAGCATGGGAAGCTGAGGAAGACCTTGACTAGCATAAGCCGTACTTAGCAACAACTAAAACATCAGCGTGTTATCAACATGATTCTCATACTAAATCCGAAACACATCACTATGTCAGCTACTAGGAAGAAAATTAACTCTATCCCAGCCAAAAGCAGGACACATTGCAACCCCTGTGATGGAAATCCATCCACAAAATTTCATCCAGAATAAAAAATCACGGGCTCTGTCCAACTTCTGTTGTTACTTGGATCTAAAAGGAGTATTACAAGTGTCATCTTCTCTTCCTTTGCAACATGGCTAGGGACAATTTGGTCAAAATAAGTAGAAATGTAGGTTTCTGCCTTGATAAGCAGGTGCTGCAATAGTCTAAATCCTCACATCCCAGAAGCTCTCAGTGATTTCTGTGGAAACAGGTGCAAATAATGAAGTAATTTAGCAATCGTGGAGCCAAACCTTAGGTACTAACGATTTCTGATGATTAATTCATTTTTATGGAGACCTGATTATGGCCTTTGGAGCCATTTTGGCTTCTTTGTTTATAAAACTTCCACTTCGTTCTACAGCATTGATTTTGAGACAATGTCCTCTGCATACAGCAGCATCGGCACTAGGTGGCATCTATGACAACACATTGCAGAAGATGAGCAAACAAGTTAGTATTATAAAGGGCTTTTAACAGGCCTCCTGATTGTAATTTACAGGATTTACAAAATCACAGGATTTACAAAACCTGTCGTTTGTAGCAACCTTCCAAAGCGAACGGCTGTAAGGTGATGGGGTAGGATGTTCAGTGGAGTGAGGGAAGCAGCTGCAAATAAAAGTTGGCACATTTGTACTGTGCTAAAATCAAGATCAAGGGGTTACAAAGAAAGCTCTTCCTCTTGTCATCCCTGCCAAATGATCCGATAATCCCTACCCTCTCTTCTGTGAGCACATAACCCTGGGAACTGTAGCAGCAGTGGCCGTAAAACTTTAGCAAGGCTACAGGCCTGCAGGCTTACCCAGCTGCTCAGCAGGGCTGAACTAACACTGAGGCTAACAAAGCAAGGCCTACATGTTAACCAACATCTAATGCTTACCTTCACAAAATTCTTCTGAAATGAAGAATTACTTCTACTTACTGAAGACAGGCACGGTTGCACCAGCACCTCCCCAACTTCTGTTGAGGCACCTGAAGTCCCATACACAGGAACGTAAGCCCCTAACTTACGGATCCAGCCCAGAGGCATCAAAGGTGACATGAAGCCTTCTTCAGAGCAAAGATCTCCCAAGTTTGGGATTTGTGCCCAAACTATTTAAGGTACCTTTCACAACACAGCCCAAGAAATTTATGTGTGCTCATCAACACAGCAGGCAGAGTAAATACCTCCTAACTCCAAAATAAATAATGATAGATTCATTCACAGTTATAGGAGTCTTTGGCAGCTATTCACAGAGCAGTGCTTCTAATTTACATAAACATCTTTGCAGTAAATCAAATACTGAACAGGCACAGCCTAGGGCTGAGGACCATTTTAAAAGTAACTTTCATCACTAAAGGCATGTGCAAGCAAGACAACTGTGAAGCCTCAGCCAAAACTGATTTGCTACACAGGAACCTCTGGAAACAAGGAACCGGTTTGGCAGATTTCAGGCAGGTACACCAGTTTACTAGAGTTTCAAGATTCAAAAAAGATAGGATAACTGAGCCCAACATCCTGCCCTACTTTCCAGTCAGTGGCAACACTCCCTGCCCACAGGGACAACTTTGCGGTGATCCCTCTCTTAGTTAAAGCTTTGTAACTCACCTGCCCGTGCACTTCCTAAGATTTTAGAAACATCCCCCATTTTTCCAGTTACACTACCCAATGCCATGTTCTCACTCCAAGTCCCAATACACTGCTCCATCACCTCCCAGCAACATCTGTTTTTAACAGCAAAAAGGCAAGACAGCTGACCTGGGAGGGGACTTTTGTCTGTACAATTTGTAATACACTGTCACTAAAAAAAACCCATCCCGTTATTGCCAGGAAAGTGAGGGGAAAAGGCGAGGTGCATCTAGTCTCTATGGATGTCTGTTATAAAACCAAAACAGCTCAATGCTGTGCTCCAAAGCTCAGCCTGTCCCAGGGATAAGATTGGAAATAGGGGAACTGGAAAAACGTGTATCCATCAGATAGTTCATGCAGCTTCCTGGGGGTGGTTTTTCAACCTAGAGTGAAAGAGGCATAAATCCTGACCAATTTCTCGGGTAGCACAAGGTGAAAACACAATCATACCTTGGTTAGAGGCTCTGGGTGAAGACGCACCCTGTCAGGACTAGATTTAACACAGCTGCTCCACCAGCACCAACCGGTATGCTGAGCCCCACCATGCAATGTAGCCATCCTCAAATCCTGCTCAGAGCCTGCCCTTAATTCCCTACTCCCCACTCCAGCACTCTTGGATTTATCCCATACAAATCCTCTCACAGAAGCCATGCAAAGACAATAAACTACCCTAGCACCACCACATTAAGGAAAATAGTTGGCTTATCAACAAGTCCTAAAACCTGAAGAAAGATCTAGGGATCTGTTGACTGATTCCCCTTTGCCACAAAACAATACATACATACATATATACACACACGAGACATAGAATCATTTAGGTTGAAAAAAACCTTTAAGATCATCCAGTCCAACTGTTAACCTAACATTACCAAGTCCACCACTAAACCATGTCCCTAAGCACCACACCTACACGTCTTTTAAATACCTCCAGGGATGGGGACTCAAACACTTCCCTGGGCAGCCTGTTCCAGTGCTTGACAACCTTTTCTGTGAAGACATTTTTCCTAATATCCAATCTAAACCTCCCCTGGCGCAACTTGAGCCCATTTCCTCTCATCCTATCACTTGTTACTTGGGAAAAGAGACCAACACCCACCTCACTACAACCTCCTTTCAGGTAGTTGTAGAGAGCAATAAGGTCTCTCCTGAGCCTCCTTTTCTCCAAACTACACAACCCCATTTTTTTTCATAAGACTTGTGCTCCAGACCCTTCACCAGCTTCACTGCTCCTCTTTGGACACATTCCAGCACCTCAATGTCTTTCTTGTACTGAGGGACCCAAAACTGGACACAGTATTCAAGGTGTGGCCTCACCAGTGCTGAGTACAGGGGCACAATCACCTCCCTGCTCCTGCTGGCCACACTATTCCTGATACAAGCCAGGATGCTGTTGGCCACCTTGGACATCTGGGCACACTGCTGGCTCATGTTCAGTCAGCTGCTGACCAACACCCCCAGGTCCTTTCCAGCCACTCTTCCCCAAGCCTGTAGCGTTGCATGGGGTTGTTGTGACCCAATTGCAGGACCCGTCACTTGGCCTTGTTGAATCTCATACAGCTGGCCTTGGCCCATCAATCCAGCCTGTCCATATCTCTCTGTAGAGCCTGTCTACCCTCAAGCAGATCAACACTCCCACCCAGTTTGGTGTCACCTGCAAACTTACTGAGGGTGCACTCAATCCCCTCACCCAGATCACTGATAAAAATATTAAATAAAAATGGCCCCAATACTGAGCCCTGGGGAACACCACTTGTGACTGGCCACCCACTAGATTTAACTTCATTCACTGCAACTTCTTGGGCCCAGACATTCAGCCAGTTTTTTACATCCATGTGCAGGAAAGACAGCCCTTCACAGTATGGCCTATCTGCTCCTTCCATGCAGCATGAAAGGATTGGCTCTTTCGCTTATTCATGGTGGGCTGCAAGGGTACAAGCCAGCTCTTAATCAAACCACAACTAAAATAATTTCAAAGACATGGGAGATGAATGTGCTTGTTACCTTGACACAGAGCAGAAATGCTGTGCTACACTAATACTTACCTCCCTGCCACTTATCCACTTCAAATCAAGCAAACCAGTTCTGTCAAGTCATTTCCCAAGAAACTGAATCTCTGTTGACCAAAGCAGGAGCGGAGCACGTGTTCAGTGCACTGGGCCATCAGCCCAAATTACGCAACCTGCACATTCACGTCTCAAGCCCATTAAAAGAGGGATTGTTCTCCTTCATGTGACAGGAGATGTCTGGGGCATCAGGATTATTTAATGGGGGCTGATGGATCTGCAATCAGGGAAATCGTCACTTTATGAGAGCATAAAGCGCTCTGTAATGCACAGAAAGGAGGAAGCAGCTCTGCACTATCAAAGATTAATTGTGAAAATTGACTTGTTCAATTACAGAAAGAACGATGGTGCATTATCGCTGCTCTTTCTTTCAGCCTCCAGTCCTGCACATTTTTAAAAGGATTTTTATTACATTACTGTTCCACTATCTGAACATTTACATAAATTAGGTAAAATATTATGAAACCATGCAGCAGTTTAACATAAACTGGTTTTGTTCTCATTCGCAGTAAATACTCTCCAACATGCAGAAGCTGTAGTCACTGACCTTAAAGGTACAGACCCTACCAGGTAGAAGGCCAGTGACCTCTCTCTCTCTTCCAGTTTCTACACACTGAGTTTATAAATGTTTTTCCTGCCCCTTGTTTGGGAACAAGTAGCAGAACAGATCTGGAGGGCTGCCAAGCATACATGCTTTTCCCCAAAATCTTCAATTGTGTTCTTTCCTAATAGTAAAGTTGCTGAGGAAAATGGAAAAACATCCATTTCATAAATATTTATAGGAAAAGTGTGTCCATGTTCCATCAAAATTCCATTGCAATGGATTTTTTCCTACCACGTTGACCTAACATGGAAAGAAAAGAAATAAAAGATGTTGGCTTCTTCTGCTCCAGCTTCTTAGGAGTTTGGCTATTAATCTTGCACTGGACTGATCTATGCAAAACCATCCTATTCCTTCTGTTACCCCACCTCTGTAACCCAAACCTGCAGTCTGAACTGTCTTTCTATCCTCTTGCAACATCTCATCTTCTAGACTGCAAGCTTTTGAACTAGGGTTGCCATTTATTACAGGTGGCATCCTGCAAACAATCCTCAGGGGAATTCAAAACTCAACTGTTGCTGACTCTCATAGGATTTAAATGCCTGCAGAAAAATGCCACAGACAAAGCTCTTTTTTGCCTAGCTCAGTGGTGCCACCCATGGCTTGTTGATCAAGGTTCAGGATCTCATCTTGAACCAGCTGCCACATCATACCAGAATTTACAAGGATAAGAAGGAAAGGAGCTCATACATGGTTAGAAAAATTATGTTCACACACTAGCTGAATGGTGTACATGAAATGAAATGTGAAATCGATCTCAGACCTCTGCACTGACAGGGTGATAATCAAACTGCTAAGAGAGATGCCAGAGATGTTGTTGGATCTCCATCCTTGGAGATATTAAAAACTTGTCCAGACAAGACCCCAGGCAATCTGTTGTACGCTAGCCCTGCTATGAGCAGGGGTTGTACCAGAAGACTGCCAAAGGTCCCTTCTGATATAAGTTTGTCTATACTTCTATGATTCTGTTCTATGATACCACTTGACCAAGTACCTGCCTTCGTGCTTTCTCCATACCCTCAACTTCAGCTAAAGTCAGGAGTCACTGATGAGGTCAGGAGCTGGGAAGCTTGGGCCTCGAAAGGAGGAGGTACCAAAAAAGCAATTCATAAATTACTACAAATGCCTTGGAGATTCCTACCCTGGGATATTCAGAAAGTTTCCATGTGAGTAGCTGAAACTTAAATACAGCTGAAAACAGAAATCCAGTCAAAAGCTCTGCTGAGGCATGTCATATGACTGCTTCTCTCCCCTAAGTGCTGAGCAGTCTCTGTGAACAGTTTTTGCATCCTTGCTAGAGTAGAGGAAAGATATACTCTCTCATCATTTGCCTTAAGAAATATTTGCCAACTTGCAGAAATCATCTCATTCTAGATTTCTCATCTGACATTGCCAAGAAATTCCTTTGAGACAAGGAAAATAAGTGAGTTTTAGGAGCATTTCACTTACGGCAGAAGTCAGGTTCTCTCCACTGGACCAGGATGCTCTTCCTAGCACAGGCTGCTGCGTAATTGGCAATAGCAGAGCACAGACAATCCTTGCCATTGGAGGAGGAGCAAACATCAAAGCGGCAGTTCTTCACATAGGGAGTAGGACTGACTTCATGGTGACAGGGTTCAAATGCAGAAGACATCAGAATTGAGCAGGAGTCCTCAGCGTATTTGGCTAAAAAGAGAAAAATGACATGCTTGCACTGAATCAATCAGTGGCTTTCAAGCAAAGGTAGAAGAGCCACAGTAACCATTTTCTTTTTCTTATGTAAAAAAACCCAAAACACACAGAAGAATAAAATAGGATCAAGTAGGCATAGATAGCATCATAGCGCTATGATAGGTCATGAGCTCCACCAGAAGAATAATGTTTCACCAGTAAAACAAATCGAGGAAAAGCAATGCTTTTGTATTCTGTTACCACTATTTTTGGTGCCGTGCTTCCTTTTACAGGGCCTCTGTTTGCTGCTGCTTTTTATATTCGCAAAATTAAACATTCTAGGCTGCACTATACTCATGAATCTACAGTGCCTGCTCTGATCTACGGCCATAAAATTTTCTGTGTGCTTGCTCCTCCCAGAAATCAAAGCTTGCTGTAACACCTGGGACAAAAAAATTACTCTGAGAATTTCTCCCTATGTCCAACCAG